GTCTCCACGCGGTGCCTTGTGGACTCCAACACCAACACAAACAGAAAAGAGGTGGGCGTCTGAACACATGCGTCACAGCAGAAGCTGCCCTCTGGGCTAATCGGGGGAAAGTTCGTGGTCTAGTGATTTCTCTTTTCCCAATGCAATTTCAAATCAGAACAACTGTAAGAACTGTAGCACATTAGTTTGTGAGGAAAATCATTTCTTTTCCTAAGAAAACTTTTCCTGTTCGCTACTTCTAGGAACTATCAGTGCCTAGATGCCCCTTTGTGCTCTGAACTCTGGTTCTGCATCCAAGCCTCACATAGAGGCAAAGCCCAGATTCAGATTTTCGCCAAAGCATGGTGATTATTCCTGGGAAAGACGGAGATGCACTCAGTGATCAGTTACAGCACTCCTGCCAACTACAGATAGCAAGAGGTACTTGGCACTAGAGGAAGGGATCGGTCTTAGGCCCTCGCACTTAGAGCAGTTACACTTTAAGAGGTATTTATAGTCCAGACTAACGCAGGGTTGGGATTTCACATGAGATTCCTGCGACGGCTTCCTGCCTCGTATTCAGCCCAACGCATGGCCTGCACCAGGTCATGAGATTGCATCACTCACTCAGAGGCGAACATGAAACACGAAGACACTGTCACGCTGGGGCTTTAGAGATTATTCTTAGGCTGGAGAGACTGCAATCCAAGAGGCTCTGAGACACCTTGGTTCTAGCAACAGTGCCGGAGAAACCAAGCAAGGGGTGGCATTCACCATACTGAAATTAATCATGGACAATTCATTAGGTCACCGGGAAAGTTAGGACTTGTTTTTCCATGTCTTTCTATGCAAAAGTGTGTCATGACTTTCCCAGTGACCCAACAGCACCCTTTCCCAAAGTGGGTTTTGTGGGAAATTTCTAGATGCTGTATATGAAGTGGTTCTCTGATCAAACAAGCTTGAGAAGCTTCAGGTTAACTCCCTTATGTAGACCTGTTCTGTGCCCCACACACTGCCTGCATGTCCTGCTTCTCGGTACCTGGCTCACCAGCCAGAGTATGGAATGCTTCGCTTCTGCGTAACAAGCGCAACTCAGTCTCACCAGCTCCTGGGTGCAGAGAGGATGCCAAGTTCTGTGACAGAGAACAAAGCTGTGAAGTCTGCCGTCCACTGCCCTAGACCCCTGGTGTGCCAAAGTTAAGTTTGCTTATGGTGGAAGGCCCTCAGTTTGATTTTGTTTCTTGCAGCCAAATGACAAAGTGGGTGAAACACAGAGTTCAGGACCCCTAAATCCCAGTGGCCAATGTTGCTGTTCTTTCCTGCAAGGGTGCAGTGGAGCTGAGTCTGGCCCAGCCTAGGTGCCTCATCCTTCTTAGTCTAAAGAGAGCTGTTCAGTCCTACATGGGCGTCTGCAGGAGTAGCAGCTTCCTGACAGTGTGTCCTGGAGGACCCTCGGGTCTCCTTCTCAGAAAGATCATCAAGGAAGGGTAGAGCCAAGACAAGGCTCCCCAGCAAGTGAAGTAAAACCTTCCCAGCCCCTTGGGGAGCAGGGGGCCATTCAGTGCATGGTTACTGAGCTCCCACCATATCCTAGACACAAAGGCATCTTCCTTGAGCAGCAAAGGCTACTATGTGCTGCCCTGGGAGTGATGCTTCTGCCCCAGGCAGGAGGCTGGATGCACTCAGGGTTTCTCCAAACCCAGCCAGGGCTGACCTGGGAGGCTCGAGGGGCAGAAGACTAGAGCCTGGAGTCATCTAGGCAAGTGCACTTGCTGTCCTATTTCATATTGCGTGGCCTCAGTCTCTCCGTGTGGAAATAGTCTCTCTCTGTCATGAAAATTTGATGTGTGGGAATGACCACACGAAGCATCAGGATCCCCCTGACAGATTTCTCAGAAGCTGAAATGCCATTATCCGTCTAGTGCCATCCAAGTCACTGCAAGCCTCTCCCCTACCTGCCATGGGGTAAAGCCTCTCCCCTACCTGCCACGGGGTACAGAGATTCTTACTTACACTTTCCTGTGACTTGTACAGAAAAACGAGCCAGCCTCTCAAAGGGATCTCATTCAGCCTTTATCCCCCACCCCTTTCTATTCTGCCAACATCCACGGACTCATTCAGTTCTCACGTACCCACTTACAGCCATTTTTGTTTAAGGGCCTGCGTGCTGCCCCTTCCCCAAGGGTGAGGATGAAAGAAAAGAGCCCAGAGTCAGTCCGCAGGGCTGACGTGAGGGGAGGAGGATGGGGCACTCCTGATGCTGAGCACGCGGAGAGGCCATGAGGAGACCTTAAGACAGGAGCTGGGTCCTGGAGCAGCCCCCTCTACCCCTGCAAGGATGCGTGACAGGAAAAGGGGCCCCCATCAAGGGTTCAGTATCATCTCCCTGCACTCTCTCTGGCCCTCGTTCCAGTCTCTGGACCCCAAAAGAGTAGAGCTGCCCGTCATCTGCTGAGTTGAAAGGACAGCCCCTGTGCCCCGGTGACATAAGGCCACTTTCATTTCCTTCCCCTTCTCTCCCACGGCCTGTCACCACCTGGTGCCTCCTCTTGAATGTATCCAGGTAATGAGGGTCATTTCAGAGGGACAGCAGCCTAAGACACACCCCGGAAATGCAGCTAACTTGTAGAAGCCTTATTTCAGTCAGGGCTGAGTGGTCAAACTAGCAGTTCTGGAGAGGTGGCAGTGACCCCCCTCCGCCCCCCCCCTGAGTCCAGCGGCCTCTCTGTGCAAGGCATCACTCTGAAACCCTGACGAAAGCACTTCTCTGAGATCCGCCCCGGCTCCAGCTTGTGGAAGCCTATCTGGACACCTGCCCCAGAGGTCCTCAGGGAGTGTCAAGCAGACACGGGGCTCCCCACACAGAGGCACTGTTGCACGTCCACCGAGCCCTGGTGACGTGCCTGCAGGCCAGAGTGCCTGCGAGGGATTCTAGACCACTCTGGCTACAACCCTCAGCAAGAATGAGTTCTCCTTCGTATGGGGGTTGAAACATCTCCACGTTTTCCTCCTGGCCCCTCCTCCATCGTGAACCTCACTGGGGAACACAGTGATGTGATCACGTTCTCACTGTCTTCTGACCTCACAGACTGAGTTCTACCCAGAAAAGGAAGTGGCTTCGCCTAGACCTGACCCCCAGGGCACACTTCCTCTGTCCTCACGCTACTTCAGAACCCCTGGCCAGACACCCGTCCAAGATGACGTCCCTGACTTGCTATGAGAAGAGGAACATCATCCAATTCCTTCCTCCTTCAGGCATGTGGAACAGAGAGGCCCAAACACGCTTGCCCCATGGCACCTGCCACCACCAGGCAGCGGGAGGAGGCCGGCCAGGGAGGTGCACACTGTTCACGACACTGGATGTTGGAATCGGGCATCGATGTGGAAATGCCCCTTGACCAGCTTAGGGACACCAACGGGTGGCTGTCTCCAAGTCGTGTGAAGTGAGATACACCCTCGTTGCTCCACGGTCCATGCTGCAGGGATGTGGGTGACAAACACAGACACCCCTGCAGGCTTCTTCTGGGATCTAACCTAGATCGCCCCCAAAAACACCAGCGGCAAGCAGCATTCCCGGTCTCCTAATGCTCGCAAAGTTGGACAATCCATCGGGGGGAAGCTGGTGTTCTTGCCATTCCCTGAGAGGGCCAGACGATATTTTCATGGTCTTTTTTTAGGGCTGTAACTTTGTAAACAACCTCTGTGACAAATCCACAGACAGCTTGTCTGGGTCCTTATTTGACGCAGAAGGTCACCAGGGAGAGAGGCGTCCTGGCTTTACTTGAGGCACGTGATGAAACGCGAAGCCCAGCCAGCACTGGCTCCCGGAGAGGGAGGCTGACCTCACCTTCTAAGTTTTGACGGTGTACTAATGCGGCCAGTCCCAGAGGCGTGTGTCAGAAAGGGAGCCGCCCGCAAACACTAGAAAAAAGGGATCCCAAGGGCATAGACCGGCAGATCCCCAGAGAAAGGGGACGGTCAACTGAGTGTGCTTGGAATCACAACGGCAGGGAAGGGCGAGCAAGGGAGAAGAGAATGACTCTGTGGGAACAGCAAAGATATTTCTAAACTATATTTGTTTTTGTTTGTAAAAGCCGAGGTCTCAGGCAGCTCATTAGTCTCAAGACTACAACCGCAGGTTCTGGGTTCTGATGCCGGGTCTCGCCCACTCTTCACCCACAGCTGGGCCTCAGTTTTCTCTTTTCTCCACTACAGACGACTAGAGACAACATTTATACCTAGTTCACAGGGTTGGTCTGAGGAATAAATGAATATATAACTAGACAGACTGCTGAGAGCAACGCCTGGCACACAGAAACCACTCGATAAACATCAGGTGATGCCATGCACCGTCGTTATCATAATCACCACCATGGCCGCCGCCCCTCATGGGCACATAACCGGGTCCTTCCTTCAGAGCCAGTAACCCATCTGGACTCCAGGCCCTGCCACTCAGGTGAGAGGAGCCACCGACCTTTTTCTCTGCCAAGTTCTTTAGTAACCTGGCTTTCTGGCTATTTGACCATCTCACGTGGGGACAATGGCTGCCCAATGTCTCCTTCATAGGTCTGTCTTAAAGTAGATGCTATAAATACACCAAGACGGCTCTCACCTTCAGGGTTAAGCGAAAACCCTTCTACCTTGAGCAACCCCATTCTAAGTCAGCACTGCAGCGCGGGCACCTCAGCAGCGCTGCCCTGAAGCCGGGTGCCAGGTCAGTTCAGAGTTTTCTTACCTAGAATCATAGAGTAACCAGGATGATCTGTTGCTGACATTTTTTTTTTTAAATGAAAACTCATTTTTAAGACCAGATTTGTCATTTGTTAACCACAGTTATGAGACTCATTCTAAAACATTTAGATACATCCGTAATGTTATTAACAAGTGGAATTTTGGCCAATGAATTAAAAATCCTCGTTAGACTAGAACTAAGAACAAAGAATCCACAGTTCCCTTCCCTCCCCAAACGGATGAGCCTGCACATCTGCCCAGACCCAATGACCAAGCAGCCTGGGACTCACCTGCTTTGCGACAGCCTGGCTTGGGGGTAGGGAGCCAGGTGTGAGTGCAGGGGGACTGCCAGGGCCGCAGAGCTCAGGGAAAGGGTTGGGGATGGCCGGCAGTGACGAGGTCCTGAACTGCTGATCTTCTTCCTGAAGGCGTCTGTGGGGACAGAGAGGAATATGGTTAAAGCTGCCTTCCCCACGTGATGCAGCATTGCCCCAGCTGGGGCTGTGCGCCCCCC